CGGCCTCTTTCAACTTTAACACAATAGAAAAATAAGAGGTTCCAGTCTTTGTCCGCTCGCTTATAATAGAGTCAGTTATCGCGGAGGCAGTGCAGTACTCCCTTCAACAGAATTTCCTGGTTGCGTTTGCAACTACTTTAATATAGTTTCAAATCTGTCAAACATCCGTATCACAAGTCGACATAGAAAAGACGTTTCAGTCTGTGATCATTGTTTGCTGTCGCAACTCATCGACGGTTAAGCTTTTGATGAATGGTTATGTTTACACGATAAAACACTTAAGTGTTGAAACGTCAGGTCTTAAATAACGCAAAGGCAAAATTTGTTTGTTATTCTTCTTAAACCGTTGACAAACCTTTTTAACTTTTGTCATCTGCAACATTTTTTTCTTCCTGTTTAGTAATAAAACACTAAAATTTAGTTTTTCATTTATTTTCTGCGCTAGTATTCAATAACCGAAATTAAAAGGGAGAAACCCAGGATCAGAATTTGGAATATCATCCTGAGTAATATCAATATCGGGTATTTCATGATTCGACCGTCTTTCCTCAGCGAGCGAAATCAAATAACGCGTACATATAACGTGAATGCTAAACTTGCTATGTTAAGCCATATCACCTGTTTCGGCTCTAATTGTGTCTAAACCATTTGGCCGAGTAATGTTTGCAACAAATTTTGTCTTTCTCTATTGTAAATAATGCATATTGTATTTCAGCTTTTCTCACGAAAATAATATAATCGGCGAATTTTGAATGGTGTAGCCGGAGGGTACTCCTGGGAATTCTTGGTGGGGGTGTGCCTCCCGGTTCTCCAAATCCTAACCCTCTTTCCGACCAAAAAATTGTCATTTTCCATGCCCGTTTTCAGACCTGCCGGTGGTCTCAAAACGCAACATTACATGTTCACATAAACATAAATTATGTCATCATTGCTTAGATTTAACCTACACAAAATGATTTCCGAAAATCCATTTCGAATTNCCCGGTTCTCCAAATCCTAACCCTCTTTCCGACCAAAAAATTGTCATTTTCCATGCCCGTTTTCAGACCTGCCGGTGGTCTCAAAACGCAACATTACATGTTCACATAAACATAAATTATGTCATCATTGCTTAGATTTAACCTACACAAAATGATTTCCGAAAATCCATTTCGAATTTGCCTGTTACACTTTCCTTCTTATTCATTTGGAATTGAAACGGCGAACACATCAGTATACAACCGTAGTTCCTTTGTAAACCATAGTCGATTCCAGACCAAAATGGGCAAAATCTATACCCGTTTTCAGACCCAAAAAGGGGCACATACCTGTATGGCTTGTATAAGGGAGTACGTCCCCCAGGGGGTGTAGCGAGTACCGTAAACTGCCGGTTGCAGCCCCCGCCTCCTCACTTATTAGCCCCCAGGTATAGGCCCATCTACCCGTAAAAAAAAAAAAGAAGCAACATACGATTATAAGCCCCCCGACGAATCCCGTTATAACAATAGATTTTGACGGTCCCAACGCACAATTTACCTTTACCCCTCTGTAACGAATATTTTGTCCTGTCGTTCGAAGCAGTCAGTTTCAGTAAAAACGACAAATTTGAGTAGAAATCACACCTTGCTTTCATTGAACGTGTTTTTGAATTAAATGTCTTGAACGCCAGCACTTTACAGTTTCAGTTGACAGTACCAAATGAATAAAAATGATGTTTTCTACGCGTGCAGTATTGAATCTTTGGTAATTGTTCTTTATTAAATTACCCCGCTATTCGTATTATGACGCTTTGAAGATTAATACAAACTAGCAAATGCAAAACTTATTTTGATCAACACTGATATAGCTTGTTTAGAGACGCTGTTTCTATTCCAGTTCAGTTAAGACAGACACGGATATGAGTTCCTCCTCCCCCCAGGCTAAGTACTTTAATTTTAGGATTGTTGCTGTATAACGTAGAAGATGATATAAAAAAACGTTATCATGGATTTTCAACTCCAATACAACTATAGCTGGTAACAAAAATAATCTTTATAAAAAGCTTTAGTTAGAGACAGTTAATATTTTGCTGTCCAAAGACTGAGATTAGGACCTTAATTTCAGATTTCATAAACAGTGAATTAGTTCATACTTTATACTCACAAAGGATGTTGTTTATGTGTAGTGGTATACCTTCTCAATTTCTTCCTCAACTTTAGACCCAGGTGCTTATAAAGACGATTACCTTTTGTTAGATCTTCACAAATAAGTTCAGCGTTTATAATCCTTAATGGCACATAAGTGTATGACTTTTGGGGAAGCAAAAACATCAGAGCAATTCTACTCGGCTATAATCAGCGAACAAAGGTGCCTTTGATCGCTCTATTTGATTCTTTTTTGTTCGGCATCTTGTGAATAATACATTTACAATATAAACAAAAAGGGTCTCTGATAAAACACTTTGCTGATTAAGGTAATAAAAAAGATAAATCACCGAATTGTGAATAATGAAACACGTACGCATTCATCGCATAATCATTCGTTATTAATACCCTGGTTACAGCATATTATTTCTTTAAAATCTAGAAAGTCAGCCAAGTTTTAGTTAACGTTCTTTAGTTGTAACAAAGCCTTTGGGGTTACCATAATACCATAACTACAGCTGCTATGATCAGCGTCTCGGATTGACATAGGACAGAGGCAGATCCACACCTTCAGATAAGGGGGCGGGTCCGGTTATCAGTAATTGGAAATGAATCTAAATTCAATAAGATAACTGAGCTGGACACAGGGGATTCTTTAAGTACTGACCCCATCGAAATCAGTAATATACTCAACACACATTTCTCCAAAATAGAACCTTCCTTAGCCTCTGAAGTTCAAAATACATCCAGTAGTTTTACTGATTATATTACCCCCGCAGAACAAATTTTTAACTTGGCGGAAGTATCATGCGAGGAGGTCTTCAATTTAATTCAGGAAATACCGAGTCATAAGGCCAGTGGTCTTGATAACATCTCAGCACGTCTCCTGAAAGAAGCATCTCCCATAGTTACTCTTAGATTAACTTTTATAATAAATCTCTCAATTGACACTGGAATATTTCCAAATGCTTGGAAACGAGCTAGAGTTTCGCCAATATTTAAAGAGGACCTCAAGACTGCTCCTGACAACTACAGACCAATCTCAGTTCAGCCTGTAGTAAGTAAATTAATTGAAAGAGTTTTTAACCAACTATATGGATATCTAAATGATAATAACTTGTTAACTGAATCACAATCTGGCTTCAGATTGGGGATTTGCGCTTTTCTCCCTCGCCCTCCTCTCCCCTCTTTGCGCCTGCCACACAGGCTATGCCAACCTTCACCCAGTTTATTTTTAAAGACTTCCGGTCCAAAAAGACACCCTATTTAAAACTGAAATTGTATACCTTGTAAATGACTCAAGATCCTCTCCTCATCCAAGACCCTGAAAACCATACCCTTTTCAGCGGCACATACCTGCCTCACCCGTCTAGGCCTAATCAGGGAGTACCCGCCCCCCCCCCCCCCCCCCCCCCGGGGGGGGGCGGAGGGGGGGGTGTCGGCCCACGCGCCCAGACGTTCTTTTTCCCCCCCCTCCTTTTTTCCAAAATTTTTTTTAAAAATCTCACACACCCGGATAAAACTTCCCGTCAAAAAAAAACCCCTTTTGAAACCCAAAATGTGATCCCTTCTAAATACCCAACACCCCCCCCCCCCCCCAAGCCCCGCAAACCCACCCCCTTTCACCCGGACCACCCCCCCCCCCCCCCCCCGGCCCTGGGCCAAAAAGGGGGGTCCCCCCCCCCCCCCCCCCCCGGCGGAGGGGTGAGAGAGCTGGCTTGTAGGCTACAGGTCCAAGGACTTCTTTCTCCCGGATCTCTTTTGGTACAAAATTTTTTTAGAAATGCGCATACCAGACGAGTTCAAGGTCAGCAGTACGGCAAAAAGTTAATTAATATATCATGAATATTAAAATTTAATTTTACCTAAATTATTCTGAAAGCTGGTTTTCACTAGCGACAGAATCGGAGTCGGAATCTTAAGCGGAGTATGACCTAGTGAAAATCAAAACGGAGTCATAAGCGCGACCAAATCGGAGTCGGAATAATAAGAACGTTGTCATTTTCTTCCGTCTCTGTCGTTTTACGATCTAGTCAGGGGTACCCAATGGATCTGTTCCTCAAAATATCTGTTATTCAGGCACGTTTATGCTGGCTGGGAGATTTGGAAAAAAAATATGTCTTTGGAAAGAATATATTGGTGGGAAATGGACAATTTAGATTGTCTGAGGGTGCTTCGAGTCTAGAATAGCTGCTACGTGATATTTGCCATAAACCTCTTGCCCCCCGTCCCCACACACACACCACTACCACTGGAGGGCTGAATTTTGCCCTATGACGACATCCAGACTGGCCAGTGATGTCTGGACATAATATGTCTGCTGGGAAACTTCCCAGTAAGTCTGGTTGCAGGTTGTATGTGCACTTTGCTGGCTGGGAACTCTTTCATTAGTCTTGCTGGGGGCGAGATAGATAATTTTTTTCCAGCAATCTCCAAAAATGCTTAAAATGGTTTCAGGAAGCTTTTTTCATGCTTTGTTGTTATGTTTAGGTCTTTTTCTCAAAATTTCCCGTTGGGCGCCCCTGTCTAGTGAAAACCAGAATGAGATTTACGGAGTCGTAAGCAGATCGAAGCGGAAGGCAATCACACGAGCCCACGCTTTGTGATTCAAAGTTCTTCTGCTTCTGCTTGCTACTCCGACAACCTTATATTCACTTGATCGTAAACCTCGACGTCGTAAGCAGAATCAGAAAGCTGTTTTCACCAGATCGTAAAGTTCTACGCTTCTGATTTGGTCGCAGACAGCGGACGGAGACTACAGTAGACTGGTAACCAGAGTCTAGCCCAGCTCCCTCTCTAATAAGTCGGCCATTTTGATATCTTGTCTGGACGCTTCTTCCCTCGTGTTTGTTTCTTGTTATCGTTTTAAAGCCGTTTTTGTCATCTCCCTTCTCCGTCATGTCAAATTTTGGCGACAGTGAAGCGGAGGAAGATTCTCTGGATGAAAGTCTGTCGAACAAAAGCGACGATGAGGAAGACGAAGACGGAGAAGAAGAAGATGGAGGAGAGGTTATGAACGACGATGCGAACGATATTATAAATGACGAAGAAGAAGAAAGTGGCGGCGAAGAAGAAGAGGCGGAGGCTCATCATCATCATAGAAAAAGACCAAAAGGTACAATAAATACGTTAAGCTGTCCTCAAAGTTTCCCGGAAAGTATTCTTTATTGTGTCGAAGCGTATTCAGCTGTGCTGATTAAGCTTTCGTTGTGATTGTTACAGAAGATGACGACCTGGACGAAGAAGATTTGTCTTTGATCGAAGAAAACCTAGGCATTAGTATAAAGCGGGTAAGACGATTAAGTACTGTAAATTTATGTTGAAAGTGTCTTATGGAGTCGAGAAACTGTATTTTTCTTGAATAAACTACACCGTAGCTATCATGCTTTGTCAACAATTCTGGCACTCGATCCTTGAAACACTTACACAAACAATAACTCCAGTTCAAGGAGACTTCATCGCTGGCATAATGATACCTGTGCTATACAGCAAATCTCTGTTCTGTGATTTTAGAAAAAACCTCGGTTGAAGAAAGTGAAATTGCTTGATTCAGATGAAGAAGAGGAGGACCAGGATGACAGGGAAGCAATTGCAAATGAACTTTTTGAGGGAGATGAGGATACAGCTGAGGTAATTTGATTAAATGTTGTTCATATTTAGTTGGATACAAATAGTTCACAGTCATTTCCATACAAAGTTGTTTCGATACAAGCTTATTCAGTCAAGGTGTAAATAGTTCCACTTCCTTGGCTTAAAGAAAGAAGAATATTCACGAAATGATATTTTTCTTGCTCATGTGCAAACTACACATATACTTGAAGTGAACAAAATTTTTGTGCAATTTTACTGCTTGAGTTCGCTTCAAAACCACTTGTATTAAAACGATTTTGTGTCAAAAGCAGACTATCCATTGAATCAGAGAATTCACCTGTCTGATATATCACAGGTTAAGTCTGGTCTGAGGTTCAATCACTATTGAAATAGTTAAATTTGTCCTCTTTCCCTGTTAGTAAGTGTTTAATCTAAGAAATAAATTCATGCACTCTTTGTCAAAATTTTAATAATTTCTCAAGCCATTAGGTGAGGGAAATTATCAGAATTAGAAGTTATTTTTTAATTTCACCCACCATTTGATTACCAGATAACATCATGGTTGACAAATTACTCTTAAAGTAAATTATTGTGAGTGTTTTATTTGTTTATTCAGGGCTCGAAATTAAAAAAAAAGTGGAGTCGCATTTTTGCGACCGGTTAAGAAAAGTTAGTCGCAAATTCTCAAAATTTAGTCGCAAAGCATAAGTTAATTATTAATAAGTACTTTGACTACTAAATTAATAACTCTTTGATTTCAGCAGCTTTTATTCATTTTTAATGATGTCTGAAAAACAGTTTCTGAATTACTTTGACGGCACAATCAAGATCATAAATTACAACATTCAATCGATTTCGAAAACGTACAGTCCACACAAATAATCCTGTTAAATGATAATTTGTACTCAAGTTAAAATTCAATAAACAAAACAATCATTAATCTTATTGTCTCTTAACGATGTGAAATCCCCGTAATGTTTCCCCTCGCTAAATACACCAAGCTCTTAATTATGAAACATGCTTACAGAAATAGCGCAAAGCTTGTGTCTACATTGACATTTTCAATACTTTCACCTTTCTGTTCCACTTGTGCCTCAAAATGGCAAAGTTTATGTTTGACTGTGAGTTATATCTTAAAAGAACTTTAAATCAAGCCAAACTTCAACTTCAACTTTACTTAATAAAAATATTGATTACAATAGACAGGCCCGCAAAAAAACAATTGCTAATCTTGGTGGATCAGTTAAAAGAAAAATGAGATTAAAGGAAAAGAAAAGGAAGGAAACTATTTTAGGTTACAATAAATAATATTTGTATCATAGTTTTATTTTAATATTAAATCTACTAAGGAAAGACAAAAAAGGAATTGACAGAGTGCGAAAAAAAAAACAAATACTTTTGTACAGAAATCACTTAACTGTTGATCTAATTATTAATGACATCTCGATATAGTCATCTTCTCTTTTTAAGATAACAAAAAGCAATCTGTGAAGCACCTTGATAACAGAAAGATATCGCAATCCTCGCAAAGATTTTTTTTTTTTTTTTTATATTTTTTAATTAAAACATTTCTTACGTTTACATACAAAATAGAAATTAAGAAAGAGAAAAAAAAACACACACACACGCACACACACACACACACACACACACATATATATAGTACAAACAAAAAAAAAAATTACAAAGCTAAACAAAGCTATTACAGCAATACAGTTACTTAGCATGTAAATTACAATGACATCACTTTAAACTAATTGTTGAAATTAATCATAACATCACTTTTACGTAAAAACGCTTATTAACTTTTCCCACTTTCTAAAATGATTGTCTAATTTGTCTCTTTTCCTGGCAATATGGAGTTCGATGTTATAAATACGCCTTGTCCTGGCTATAAAACCTTGAAGAGAAGGTATACCATTCTGGTATTTCCGAGAGTAAATATAAAACTTACCCAGAAGCAACATATGGTTAAACAGGAGAAAATCTTCTGCAATATCGAACTTACCAAAAATGACGTCCTCCTCTTTAAGGTTATCAACAGAGATGTTATTATCGCGCAACCAGGACAAGACATGTTTCCAAAAACTAGATGATACTCTAGTACTCTACTCGCAAAGTTTTTGGAACAAACACACATGCCACTGAAAAGCCGCCATGTTTGTTTTCAGCGATTCACAGTGATCAAACGTGGCGTACGTGCACAGTTCCCGCCAAACTGCCAAACTCTTAAATTATTTCTGACACCCTTTATGATTGTTATCTATCTAGTTTCCAGGCTCACAATTTTGTTGCACATTACCATAAAATTGTTATAATTTTTTCTGAAAAAAAGTTTTTCACATTTTATCGTCAAAAAATGAGGTTCAGTTTTTGGGTTGTAGAAATCAGTCCCCATACATGAATTACCTACGTGTTTATAAGAGAACCGCTGTAATGGCATCTCATCAAGCTAATTGTGTAACGTTGTTTATATGTTGTGTTGTTTGGAACTTGAGCAGGATTTTGTCTTTACATTGTCAAATCTCCACAACAAGTAGGACACAGTTTATTTCTTTATTAATTTAGGCGAAAACTGGTCACAAAGTTGTAAATGCTGAAGAAGTTTTAGTCGCAAAGGGAGAAAACTTAGTTGCAAATGCGACTGATACAGTCGCAATGTCGAGCCCTGTTATTGTCTTGAGAACTCCACATAATATTAAAAAGGTGAAAGTATGTATTTTGGTGAAAGTGCAAAATTTTCAAAATTTTTCAACAAAATATCCATTAGTATTCTTATTGTACGCACAGGGATTTCGCTGAGAAGGCAAAATCCTGAGTAGGCACTCTCTAGTAGCTCGTGCATGTATTATGAAGGTCTTGCTCAGGTCGTAAACCCTTACCATCTTAATCCTTAGCATTGTTAAACTGGGAGGCCATCTAGGCACTGCAATATGTATACACTATGCCCCCTAGGGATGTTTTGTGGGAGAGACATCTGCGATTCAGCCCCAAAATTGACATGAATCAGTGTTTACATAATTGATCTAGTAGTCACTGGGTTCCAGATGTAAATTGGTTTGAGTTTATCTTTCTTCTGGTGTGTTATTGTAAACTTTTGAGTTCTTCTGCCAAGGAATGGCAGCAGAACTCAAATGCTTCTTGTACGTGAGTTATGACTGTGTTTCAGTTGGTTCAGTCCGTCTACATTTTGATCTTTGTGACCTCATGTCTTTTGTCTGTCATTCATAAACAATAGCTCAAAGAATAA